GATGATAATCATGACACAGAGACAAAACGGGGAGCAGGGGAGGGGAAAGGAACACAAAACTGAAGGAAGCAAAAAGAGAGAATTCGAAATAACACAGTTGGCATTGAGTTTATGGGGAAATTGCTATAAAGACCCCTTGCCCATTGGTAAGCAGAATATGTGGTACAAATGGGCAAAATTGTGCCATTTAATATACTGCTCTCTTGAGCTACCAGATCTAGAAGATTGAGGTGTTAGCAGATTTAAGGAGATGTCTTAAACCAATGTGGCATCTTCCAGATGTTGTTGGACTACCACACCCATCAGCACCAGTCCACATGATGGGCAATACAGTGCCTCTGCATCAGAAGCCATTTCCACCTGCATTCCACCTGACATTATAGATGGTGTCAGATGTGGGGCAGGGAGGAGTTGGGATTGATCCAAAGGTGCTTTGCAGGGAATTCCAATTGGCTACTAGCCATGATTGCTATGCTATCCCTCTACTGTCAGAGGCTGTATCCTTCTGAGTACCAGTAGCTGGAAACTGCAGAAGGAACAAGAGGGTTTGAGCACATAACGTCAAAGCTGGCCCAACTACACTGGTGGCCAGCTGGTTTCCGGACCTAATTCAAAGTGCTGGTCTTGACCTATCAAGACTTCAGCTGCTCAGGACTGCAATACCTTTAAGGACCACCTCTCCCTGTATGAACCTACCAAGATCCTGCAATCATCATCTGAGGCCCTTCTTGGTGTGCCTCCTCCACAGAAGGTTTGGAGGGTGGTAACACGAGAATGAGCCTTTTCTATGATGGCTTCCCATTTGTGGAATGCTCTTCCAAGGAAGGCTCGTCGGTTGCTTTTGTTACATTTCTTTAGGTATCAGGCAAAAATATTCCTCTTCTCCCAGGCCTTTGACTGATTAAACAATCTATGGTCTTTTAATCTGGGGGGTATTGTTTTTGTTTGTGACTATGGTATGTAGAGGGACGCGGGTGGTGCTGTGGGTTAAGCCACAGAGCCTAGGGCTTGCCGATCAGAAGGTCAGCAGTTCGAATCCCCGAGACGGGGTGAGCTCCTGTTGGTCGGTCCCTGCTCCTGCCAACCTAGCAGTTCGAAAGCACGTCAAAGTGCAAGTAGATAAATAGGTACCACTCTGGTGGGAAGGTAAACGGCGTTTCCGTGTGCTGCTCTGGTTCGTCAGAAGCGGCTTAGTCATGCTGGCCACATGACCCGGAAGCTGTACGCCGGCTCCCTCGGCCAGTAAAACGAGATGAGCGCCGCAACCCCAGAGTTGTCCGCAACTGGACCTAATGGTCAGGGGTCCCTTTGCCTTTACCTTTATGGTATTTATTATTATTATTATTATTATTATTATTATACACTGTTGTGGGTGATAATCCCAAACCATCAACAGGTTTGCAAGTAGTTTCCCCAAACGTAGTGAGTGACTTGACACGCAACATGCTGCAGAATTCTGCAACACTTGCAGGAACAGTGAATAGAGGACTTTATACATCACTCTGCCTCCAACAGCCATTGCTATCTAAGAGTTTTAAGGGCTAGGAGAAAGTGATTCCATCAGCTCAGAGCAGCAGCAGCAGTGGTAGTAGGAACATGTGGTAGACCGGGAAGAAGTTGATAAAGAACATCCTGGGCCAGCAAAATCTTTTTGCTGCCTGAGGCAAGGCGGACCACACAACACCACCTCCTTGTGCACAGTGATGACTGCCTTCTCTACTGCCCCCTGCTGCCAAGTTGACATTGTGACACTTATCCACCTTTGTTGATTTGTTTGACTGGGCTGAATTTATGAGCAAAAAGAAGTCATTCCCTAAACATTTGGGGGGGGGCAGGTGGAGGGAGGGGAGGAGAAAATAATATGTTGAAAGATGAATGGATATACCTAGATCTAACATTGCTACTTTATTCTCAGGCTGCAAAAAGGACTCCAGGCTCAGTGAGTGACACTTCCAGATGAATAACCCTACATTGTGCTTTATTATATAGATCTCTGTGTGTATAACTGACTCAATGGAGACCTATTATTTTCCCTTATACAGCTCGCTCTGGAAGTCACCTACATTATGAAACAACTCCAGCACATCATTTCTTTATGCTGAACTTGCCAAAACTCTGCAATTGATCTACTTCCCCACCACACACAAACACACACACACCCATAATAAATCCAAACAATCCCCCAAGAATTTTTATTTTCTGCAGTCTAAATCTGAGGGCTGAAGAAGCTGCCAGATTAGACGAGAGAACTACACCTACACAACAAACCTGGTAGAGCATTAAACCTCTGTGTATTTCTAAATTATAACTCCAGATGCTTTTATCCTCAGTTCTTTTTGATGACCTTTCACTTGAAAGTCCATTTGTCAGTCTACTTCCAGGGTCTGAATAAATCATCAAAGCCACAAGGCTAAATTGTTCCATAAATGGCGCTACAGCAATGTTGTTGTGTTAGCTTCCCCATAATGGGAGCAGAGCTCCCGCTTCTGCCAGAGGCATTTAAATAAATTCCTATTTTTTAACAAGTCGCTACACTACAAAGGCTGGCCATTTATCACCCAAGTAAATAAAGCATTCTTCCTGATTTACTTGCACAAAGCTTACACAGAGGTTATACAATGCCTGCTCTTTTTTTGAGCATTAGTTCTGATTGGTTTGTAGGGAGGTTTTACAACAATGAGCTTTCATATCCATTTGCTTCCCATTAATCATTCCTTCATTCCACCTGTTTCAGTGAAATTTCCCCATCACTTTCCTAATACAGTGGTACCTTGGGTTACGAACTTAATTCATTCCAGAGGTCCGTTCTTAACCCAAAACCGTTCTTAACCTGAGGCGTGCTTTTGCTAATAGGGTCTCCCACTGCCGCCACCGCGCGATTTCTGTTCTCATCCTGGGGCAAAGTTCGCAACCAGGAGCAACTACTTCCTTGTTATCAGAGTCTGTAACCCGACGTGTTTGTAACCCGAAGCATTTGTAACCCGAGGTACCACTGTACACCAAGAAGCCTTATATTTTATAAGCGGATGTGTTTGCGCTAGGGTGACAGAGCACATGAATTGCGCAAACCAAAATTTCCAGTATGCACTTGAATCCCTCCTGCAAAATAATGGCAGTCTGGAGATGCAAGAAGCTTAGCATGACAGAGCAAACCGAAGGGTGGTGAAAACAGCAGAATGTTGGAGGAGAAGATACCATATTGATCCACAGATGGCTCCTGCAGGATTCCTGTGTGAGCACTGAGGTTAGACAGAGGTGGACGTAGAAATTGTGGCTGGTTGGCCCCTAACATGGCCTAAATTTATCATTGCACAGAGCTTGTTGTTGTTTAGTCATTTAGTCGTGTCCAACTCTTCGTGACCCCATGGACCAGAACACGCCGGGCACTCCTGTCTTCCACTGCCTCCCTCAGTTTGCTCAAACTCATGTTAGTAGCTTCAAGAACACTGTCCAACCATGTCGTCCTCTGTCATCCCTTCTCCTTGTGCCCTCAATCTTTCCCAACATCAGGGTCTTTTCCAGGGAGTCTTCTCTTCTCATGAGGTGGCCAAAGTATTGGAGCCTCAGCTTCATGATCTGTCCTTCCAGTGAGCACTCAGGGCTGCTTTCCTTCAGAATGGATAGGTTTGATCTTCTTGCAGTCCTTGGGATTCTCAAGAGTCTCCTCCAGCACCATAATTCAAAAGCATCAATTCTTTGGCAATCAGTCTACTTTATGCTCCAGCTCTCACTTCCATACATCACTACTGGGTAAACCATAGCTTTAACTATACGGACCTTTGTTGGCAAGGTGATGTCTCTGCTTTTTAAGATGCTGTCGAAGTTTGTCATTGCTTTTCTCCCAAGAAGCAGGCATCTTTTAATTTTGTGACTACTGTCACCATCTGCAGTGATCATGGAGCCCAAGAAAGTAAAATCTCTCACTGCCTCCATTTCTTCCCCTTCTATTTGGCAGGAGGTGATGGGACCAGTGGCCATGATCTTCGTTTTTTTGATGTTGAGCTTCAGACCATACTTTGCACTCTCCTCTTTCACCCTCATTAAGAGGTTCTTTAATTCCTCCTCATTTTCTGCCATCAAAGTTGTATCATCTGCATATCTGAGGTTGTTGATATTTCTTCTGGCAATCTTAATTCCGGCTTGGGATTCATCCAGCCCAGCCTTTCGCATGATGAATTCTGCATATAAGTTAAATAAGCAGGGAGACAATATACAGCCTTGTTGTACTCCTTGCTACTACCATTTTTTTACCACCTAACCACATGGTATTAAACTTAGGGATATTCAAAACCACAAAGTCCAAATCAAAATGCAATCCTGCATACATTCACTTATCGGTAAGCCTTACTGAACACAGTAGGGCTTACAGCCTTTGGACCCAACTCCAGATTTTGTGGGGTCCTATGCAGGATGCTCCCTCAGGGCCAGCCAGTCCGCCACCCCCAACAACACCTACCACTTTCCCCTGTAGGTGGCGCTGGTGAAGCTGCTGGCCTTACCTTTCTTCTCGTATTTACATGCACACTTAGATGCGGGCTTTCTTAATGGCGCCACTTTAGAGGGTTGGGAGCTTATTTTTTTAAAAAAATAATAATAATATTTATTAAAATTTCACAAGAAAAAAAACCACATTAATGAAGAAAAATTAACAATAAAAAGAAAAAATACAAAGGAAAAAAGGAAAAAACAATTAAAAACAATTTCATCTTTTCCTCACTTCTTTTACATTTACTTGTTTCTCGGACCTCCTCTTACCTCCCTCTTTTGTATTCTAATTAAATATGTTAGTCCAACAGTTCCTTTCCCTCCTTTTCAATCCTAATCTTTAATCTTGATATAATATAACTTTAAATTTTAGATTTTACATATTAAAACCAATTTTTCCATATTCTTTTAGCCTGTACAGCTAGAAACCCCTTAACTTCAATCCAACATCATTCTAACATTCATTAATTTTGCAGTATTTCTGTAAATAGTCTTTGAATTTCTTCCAATCTTCTTCCACTGACTCTTCTCCCTGGTCACGGATTCTGCCAGTCATTTCCGCCAATTCCATGTATTCCATCATTTTCATCTGCCATTCCTCCAGTGTGGGTAGATCTTGTGTCTTCCAATACTTTGCAATGAGTATTCTTGCTGCTGTTGTAGCATACATAAAGAAAGTTCTATCCTTTTTTAACACCGATTGGCCGACTATGCCCAGGAGAAAGGCCTCTGGTTTCTTCAAGAAGGTATATTTAAATACCTTTTTAGTTCATTATAAATCATCTCCCAGAAAGCCTTAATCTTTGGGCACGTCCACCAAAGGTGAAAATGTACCTTCAGTTTCTTTACATTTCCAACATTTGTTATCGGGCAAATGGTAGATTTTTGCAAGCTTGACTGGGGTTATGTACCACCTGTATATCATTTTCATAATATTTTCTCTTAAGGCATTACATGCCGTAAATTTCATACCTGTGGTCCACAACTGTTCCCAGTCAGCAAACATAATATTATGTCCAACGTCTTGTGCCCATTTAATCATTGCAGATTTCACCGTTTCATCCTGAGTGTTGCATTTCAACAGCAAGTTATACATCTTTGACAAAATTTTAGTTTTGGGTTCTAACAATTCAGTTTCTAATTTTGATTTTTCCACCTGGAAGCCGATTTTCTTATCCAAATTGTATGCCTCCATTATCTGATAATAATGAAGCCAGTCTCGCACTTTGTTTTTTAATTTTTCAAAACTCTGCAATTTCAATCTGTCTCCATCTTGTTACAAAATTTCCCAATATTTCGGCCAATTGACCTCCATATTGAGCTTTTTCAAGGCTTTCGCTTCCATCGGTGACAGCCACCTTGGAGTTTTATTTTCCAATAAATCCTTGTATCTTATCCAAACATTAAACAGTGCTTTCCTGACAATATGGTTTTTAAATGCTTTATGTGCTTTGACCTTGTCATACCACAGATATGCATGCCATCCAAATACATTGTTAAAACCTTCTAAATCCAAAATGTCAGTGTTTTCAAGAAGCAGCCATTCTTTCTTTTTTTTTAAATGATATTTATTAAAGTTTCACAAAGAAAGAATCACATCAACAGAAAAGAAAAATTCAAGAATAAAAAGAAAAATACACAATGCAAAATACAAAAAGAAAAAGAAAAACAGTTAAACACAATTCCATCTTTTCATCACTACTTTTACATTTACTTGTTTCCCGGACCTCCTCATACCTCCCTCTTTTGTATTCCAATTCCAGCAATTCCTTTCCCTCCTTTTTAATCCCAATCCTTAATCTTAATATAATATAACATTAAATTTTTACCTATTGAAAACCAATTTTTCCATTCTTTTAACCTTTTTAATCCTAATCCTTGATCTTAATATATTTATAACTTTAAAGCCTGTACAGCTAGAGGCCACTTAATTTCAATTCAACATCACTCTAACATTCATTAATTTTGCAATATTTCTGTAAATAATCTTTAAATTTCTTCCAATCTTCTTCCACTGACTCTTCTCCCTGGTCACGGATTCTGCCAGTCATTTCCGCCAATTCCATGTAGTCCATCATTTTCATCTGCCATTCCTCCAGTGTGGGTAGCTCTTGTGTCTTCCAATACTTTGCGATAAGTATTCTTGCTGCTGTTGTAGCATACATAAAGAAAGTTCTATCCCTTTTTAACACCGATTGGCCGACTATGCCCAGGAGAAAGGCCTCTGGTTTCTTCAAGAAGGTATATTTAAATACCTTTTTTAATTCATTATATATCATCTCCCAGAAAGCCTTAATCTTTGGGCACATCCACCAAAGGTGAAAAAATGTACCTTCAGTTTCTTTACATTTCCAACATTTATTATCAGGCAAATGGTAGATTTTTGCAAGCCTAACTGGGGTTATGTACCACCTGTATATCATTTTCATAATATTCTCTCTTAGGGCATTACATGCCGTAAACCTCATACCTGTGGTCCATAACTGTTCCCAGTCAGCGAACATAATGTTGTGTCCAACGTCTTGTGCCCATTTAATCATAGCAGGTTTCACCGTTTCATCCTGAGTATTCCATTTCAGCAGCAAGTTATACATTCTTGACAAATTCAAGAAGCAGCCATTCTTTCAACCAGCAGAAAGCTGCTGATTCATAGTAAAGTTTAAGGTCTGGCAGGGCAAATCCACCTCTATCCTTTGCATCTGTTAGTATTTTAAATTTTATTCTGGGCTTCTTGCCCTACCAGACAAATCTAGAAATATCTCTCTGCCACCTCTTGAAACAGTCCATTTTGTCCACAGTTTGTAATGTTTGAAACAAAAACAACATTCTAGGCAATACATTCATTTTTATCGCAGCAATACGGCCTAGCAGTGAAAGCTTTAAATTTGACCAAATTTCTAAATCTTTTTTCACTTCAGCCCAGCATTTTTCATAATTGTCTTTATACAAATTCCCATTTTTTGCTGTCAAGTTAATCCCCAAATATTTAACTTTCTTAACCACTGTTAAACCTGTCTCATTCTGAAACCTCTCTCTCTATTGGTGTTAAATTTTTCTCTAAAACCTTAGTTTTTACCTTATTCAGTTTAAATCCTGCGACTTGACCAAATTCTTGAATCAATTCTAAAACCCTTTTAGTACTAGATTCTGGCTCCTGTAATGTCAATACTAAGTCATCTGCAAATGCTCTCATAGAGGGTTGGGAGCTTAGCAGCTACTGGGCTCCAAGTGTATTATGGCACTGCCAGAAGCCTGATTGTAAGGGAGCACCAGGAGAGAACAGCCATTGGCTAAGCCTGATCACTTGAAAATACAAGGGAGAATGTCAGCTGCAGTAGTGACTCCAAAGTGGGGATAGGCGTTGGGGGACAGACAGTGCATCAGATTTGGCAGGCCCTGCCAGGGTCCTTTTCTCAGCCTTCAACAATGAACTTTTTTTTTGTAATGCAATTGAAATCCCTGGCTGCATGTAAACAAATTTCATAGAAAGGTCAAAATTGTGTAGATACATATTTGGAAATCTGGAGGCTTATATTAGCTGATATATTTAACCTAAGATGCATGTACAATACTGTGTCTGTATTGCGAACTGATGGTGGTTTCTTGTTACCATTAGTATAATTCTTTTTTCCCCCTTCCCTTCTTTGTTATGTTTGCAAAATATACATATATCTTAAAAAGGAAAGAAGGGTGAGAGATAACCACAAATAAGACTTTATCCCCTGCTGTTCGAAGGAGCAAAAACAAGACCAAATCAACCAAAAGCAGCAAGACGAAACTTATAAAAGGACACCTCCTCATCTCTTCTGACAAATACTGCACATTCCACAGAACTAGCTCACGCCACTTCCTTCCCTATGGAGCTGCTGCTCGACTTTCCCAAAGCCGATATTAATATCGCAGACCATTATAATACAGTTATTTTCATGGAAGCCTGGGAGGAAGTCACGTGGCATTAATTGGCCCCAGCTGACGAGAAGGTCTCCTCTGAGGTTGTTGTTTTTACTCACATAAGCAGCAATGGAGTGGAAAAAGCGAAGGAAGTCGCAATGATTGTCTTAAATGAGTGATAACCTTTCTCTTGCCTGTTTTGCTAAGGGATCATTAACCCACTTTTAATTGGATGACCAGGTGCAGCTAGACTTCCAAAGGCCTACATGAACACACAGCTTTAAGCAGCTCACATTAAGGGGAAGATTTGCCTTTCCTGAAACTTTCCAAACATTAAAAAGGATCGGGGTCAGAGGGCGGGGAGATAAGAGGAACAAGTGTTCACCCTAACCCTAGAGGAACAATTATTATACAGTGGTACCTTGGGTTAAGTACTTAATTCGTTCCAGAGGTCCACTCTTAACCTGAAACTGTTCTTAACCTGAAGCACCACTTTAGCTAATGGGGCCTCCTGCTGCCACCGCGCTGCTGGAGCATGATTTCTGTTCTCATCCTGAAGCAAAGTTCTTAACCTGAAGCACTATTTCTGGGTTAGCGGAGTCTGTAACCTGAAGCGTATGTAACCTGAAGCACCACTGTACACTACAAGGTACTAAATGTAGGCTAAGCGCTGCATTAGAAAGGACTTTCTAACTGCACCACAAGCCCAAGTAACATCAATGTCAGCTTGTTGTCTACAATGTAGATTGAAATGTGCTTCTTTCTTTTCTTTTTAACTGAACTTTGTTATATGTCAGGTGTGGGGAAACTCAGGTTTGGGGGAGGAATGTGGCCTCCAGACCTCTCTGTCCAGCCCATAAGACTCTCTCAGGCTACACCTACACACCCTCCGAAGGCCCCCACTGACAGAAGCATTATGGTGCTGTTGTGTTCAGATCCATCTTGTGGGCTTCCCATAAGCATCTGGTTGACTTCTCCTGCAGGCCATGCCCCTTCCTCAAGCCACACCCTCCAAAGGCCTCCACTGTCAGAAGCTGTATGAATACACTTTCTGGGACTCGCAAGTGGGGAGAGTGCTGTTGTGCTCAGGTTCATCTTGCAGACTTCCCAGAGGCATCTAATTGGCCACTGTGAGAACAGGATGCTGGACTAGGTACTCCATTGGCCTGACCTGAGCCAGAAGGCTCTTTTATGTGTTTTAGGCCATGCTGTTCACTAACCCTTCTCCACAACCTCCTGGAGCGCTTTTGTCTGGCTAAAATGTGTCCTCAAAGTATGACCGTGCCTCTTGCTTACCTCGATGGAAGGGTGGAGAGGTAGGGGCAGGGTGGGGCTTAGAAATCTCTGGCTTTGACAGAAATGTAGCCTACTGTACAAAGGTCACACCTGTTGTCTCTTGGCCCCACCCACTTTTGCCTCTTGTCTCCCAATATTGGTCTGCAGTCCCTCGAAGGTTGTCCATGACATATTGCTCTTGGGCCGAAAAAGCTTCTCTGCCCACTCTTTTATATTAATTAGGTGGCTAGCAATTACCACTGTTGTCACTAAGAACATCTAGGCTCTGCTCTAGATAATGGTGGGTGTGGTATTTCTAGAAGAACGCTAACATCAGAACATGCATGATGCATCCCAAGGGATCAAGCAGCTGTGGATTTTCTTTTTTAAACTGATTTTATGTGCCGCCTTAAAATGATCTAAAAATGCAATTCACCAAACAAAATGCACTGCTTGGGGATATAAAAGAATCTCTTTCCTTGGAGGTTTGCATGAGAAACTTCAGAAGCATCTGTTAGCTATAGGATGTCCTGCCATGATTTACAATGATTTATTTCAACATATTTGGTTCAGTGAGTGACTTAAATTCTTTCATGCGGGCAATCTGCATTGGCGATGTTCTGTGGGAGTTTGCAAGATTCACAGTTGAAGATTAAACCTTCTCCCCCCCGCCCCATGAGCCACAAGTTTCCCTGGGTGAGGGAAGCTAAGGGGACAGGCAAACTAACCCTGTATACCACCTGAATATGTGCGTTTAGCTGGCACATAACAGGGCTCTACAGTGGTACCTCGGGTTAAGTACTTAATTCGTTCCAGAGGTCCATTCTTAACCTGAAACTGTTCTTAACCTGAAGCACCACTTTAGCTAATGGGGCCTCCCACTGCCGCCATGCCGCCAGAGCACGATTTCTGTTCTCATCCTGAAGCAAAGTTCTTAACCCGAGGTACTATTTCTGGGTTAGCGGAGTCTGTAACCTGAAGCGTCTGTAACCTGAAGTGTATTTAACCTGAGGTACCACGGTAATTGGGTTCTTTTGCACATGCATAAAGCTGATGCATAAGAACATAAGCAAAGCCCTGCTGGATCTGACCAAAGGCCCAGCTAGTTCAGCATTCTGTTCTCACAGTGGCCAACCAGATGCCTATTGAAGCACACAAGTGCTGAGTGCAGCAATCATCTCTGTGCTTGCAGTTCCCAACAACTGCTATTCAGAGGCACACCACCTCCAACAATGGAGGAAGAACAGAGGCATCATGACTAGCAGCTGCTGGTAGATGTATCTTCCATGAATTTTCCAACGTTGGTGGCCATCACTGCATACTGAGAGAGCAAAGTTCATAGTTGAACTCTGTGCTGTGTCAAGAAGCACTTTCTTGTGTCTGCCTTGTAGGAAGATTCATTTATTTTTTTAAAAAGGACTTCAGAAGCATCTCAAGGCATCCAACAATCAAAAAGTATTAACAAAGCTTTATAATGTAACTTTATAAATACATAAGCAAATACATTTTAAAAGAAAGAAGTATTATCTGAGATTCTCAGAGTCACGGTTTCAAACACTGCAGTACAAAAATGAGGTTGTCCCTCCACCTTCAGGAGAATTGAAAACACCATTCACAAATCACCATACCCAGCCAAAATAATTAAAAATGATAAAAATACAAACTACTATGGATTGAGGTTGAGTAACAATAAGGGGATCGAAAGATGAACAGGTCAGAACAGGAACCCCCTTCCTGATGGCAGGAAGGAAAAATTAACTACTGCAAGGGGCTCAGTTCATAGAACCACATATTATGGCTCAGCATGATATTTTGTTATGAGATTTGAATCTAGGCATGTATTTCCAATAAAGAGCTATGCCTTTGAACAACTAGAATCATCATTTGTTCCCACTACAACTTGTCTTCTGATCTATTTTTCCTCGTATTATCATTTGAGATTCCTATAGAGTCTGGTTTTCTCCTGTGGTATTTGGTTGGGAAAGAGGCCCCGGTTAAATTAATGCTCAATTCTTTACATTTTTTCAGGCGGTAAATACAGTTTGTAGAAAGGGAAACTGTACAGTTCATTCAATAGCTGGCTCCTGTCCCTCCATTGCAGAATGTACTATGTGTTCCTTGGAAAATGGACACATTT